GGGGAGTCCATGTGAAACAGATGGGGCTTTACTCTGTAATAGTAGACCAGATATTTCTGGAATGGAGGTATGACCTGATGGCCATGGAATTAGAAAGACAAATTTACTAGTTGTCATCATCGTCTTCTTTTTGAGTGACATATGAGAAAAAGAATGCCAATGAGCTTTTTCTCAATTCTGTCTAGTCCATATTTTACAAAATTATTCCAATTAATCCTCACAAGTGCCCAAGATGGCAGGTGCTTCTACAGTTGAGGCAATAAGACTCGGAGAGCTTTGGGTCATCCTAGCAACAAATACTTATTGAGCACCATAGGCCAGGGACTCTTCTAAGGTCTGAAGTTAGAGCCGTGAACAAGGCAGACTGGGCCCTGTTCAGAGTATGCAATGCCAGACAGATGATAACAAAATTACTGCACAAATTTCATCACTACTGGGATTACTGCTGTAAAGGAAATGTGTGAGTATCAGATGGAAAGGGGGTGACGGAGCCTTGTCTTGGGAGTCAGGAAGGGCTCCTCAGAGAAGTGACAGTGGCATCCGTCAGAATGGGCAGCAGCTGCAAGCTGAGGGGGCAGTGGGAAGGATGGGTGGCTGGAGGCTCCCCCAGATGTCATGTTGCTTGCTAGTGGGTTGCAGTGTTGCTGGTGGCTAAGAAAGAGTCCCACCCTGCTCAACTAACATCAGAGAGCTGTGGTCTCTCCTCTCTAGAGGCAGCCTCAGTCCTCACCACTGGTTGAGTGGCTGGTTTTGAAGGATTAAAAGAAAGACCTGCTTAAAATCTAAGGAGTGGCCAATCTCTTTCCTATGTCTCTTACCTCAGTGTCTTGTAAATAAGAGAACAGAAATAGTGAAAAACAACACTGTTTCAAGCCACCTGATTTTGCCTAGATTATGGGCTAGCCTGGGCACCTCATAGACTTTACACAGCCTTGGTTCCAGGAAGGCTGCCCTGTACAGAAACCAGGTCACTAAGAGATGCTGGGAACAGATCCACCCTCTCCTTCCCTTCCACCACCCTGGCCCCTTCCCACCAGCTCCAGCTGCAGAGACCAAGGAGCGACTAGGGCTTGTAACAGCCGAGAAAGGGCAGCTGAGGAAGGGTCCTATGGAAGACCATGGACCTCCCTTCAAGATGCTTCTTGTCAGGTTCCAGCGCTGTGCCTCATAGTCACTCGAGTCATAAAACACTCTTGAGAAGCCACAAATGATATTCACAACTTACAGATGAAGAAACTGAGGCCCATAGAGAATGATCTGAGCCAGAAAGGGGCTAGAAACTTCCTCAGTGTCACCAGCTGGTAGTGCGAAGGATCACCCAGCACCATGGGTGGGAGAGACCATAGAGATCCTGCCAAGCACCCTTCTTACAAGCGGAGAAGCCCAGGGATGGTCACGTGGCGCTGGGTGGCAGAGATTTCTGACTCTGGGCTCATTGTTCATTCCACTCTCCCGCAGGACTCCATTGTTAGCTAAATTTTCCTCTGAATTATGAATGAGCAAAAGGCAATTATGTGTGTGCTGTGGGAATGTGCGAGACGAGAGAGATTCACACACATGGTGCAAGTACCTGTGCTGGGGAGGGGGCTGGGACTGCTTTTAAATCCTGACTCACGGCTGTTCCATTTCTGCTAACTGTGGGTTCAGCTTTAGAAACAAGAAGATTTAATTATGCATCCATTCACCACTGGGTTTCACTTTTCATGCCTCCGCAGCCCACCCCCCCAGCGACACGCGCAAGCCCGCAGTTCTCTGCGCTGGAGGACGCTGCCGTCCCATAAGGCGCGCAGCGAGCGCGCACTTTGCTCGCCTCCGTCCGCGGAGGAGCAAGATTTGTTCAGTCCATCGCGGCTTACCACCGCGCTTACCGTTCACCCAGCACATCTGCCTGCCCTGGTTGTGTCGGACTGGACCCATCTGTCTTCCTGACACCTTGGCAGCAGCTGGAAGGGGGGGAGGGGAGGCGGTGTATTTATTTTCTTTCTGAGCACAGAGCGCTGGGTAAAGGCTTTGCAAACCTGCTGCTGGAAAGTTCCATTTTTCTTCCTTCTAGAGCGAGTTTATGTGCTTTGGATCAGGAGCAACTCCCAAGGTGTGACTTAGGCTTCTTGCTGCTCTCTGCCTTGTATGACTAACAGGCTCCCCTAGAAACACTCCCGCCAGCCTGGCTGCCGTGGCTCCATCCTGGAAAAGTGAAAAAAATGCCCGCACCAGGCACCAGATACCACTAACACAGCCAGTCACCCCGAGAACCTCCTCCTTGAGGCCAAACCAGCCCCTCTCCCTGGCCTGCCGACTATGGCTGATGGGAAACATCTCCCTGACCTCGCTCAAAGGACCCTAGGATCCTGGGGATGATGCTATTAATTGGTCTGGTTTCTCCCCCTTCCTGTCAAACACAGGAAATTAGATTTGACCTTTGCTCTGATCACTCTAGAATCATTCTTGGACTAAAGACTTCCCGCCTTTGTAGTCAGAGCATCTATTACCGCCCTGATTAACGCCCGTGCTCTGATGGGCGGGCTCCAAAGGCAAATGCGATTTCCGTGATTTCTGGTCCCCATGTTGAGTGCAGATGTCTTTAAATGGAGTGAAATCATCTTTAATAAGCATGCATCAGCATTCAGATGGCTCTGGGGTACATTAACAGTTTCCCAGCAATATGCCCCATGCCAAACCACCTTATGGGACCCTTCCAGATCCAACAAGGAAAAAGCAGGAAAAATCTCAAAGTAAATCCAATTCTCAACCAAACCATTATGTATTTAGGATAGACTCAGAAATGTGATGCTGTTTTTTTTTCTCAGCACTAATGGAGCACCCGGCACTTCTCAGGCGTAGTAAGAGGAGAAGGGAAAAAGAGAAGAAAACCACTTTACCCTGAGATTAAAGAAACAAGCAAATGCTTCTCAACTTCTAACTTAGAGTTATTCTGTAGGGAAGCTGCTTCATTGTTCAGAGCCTCAACCTTTTCCTAGCCTTAAAATAGGATTAAGGATCACCACTACAAGGCTTTGGTATACAAATTACCTGTTTTTGCAAAGTGTGTTGATTCATTTCACATTTATCAAACCCACATTTCAAATATACTTACTCTACTTAGATCCACAGTAGAGTCAAAGTAATGTCTAACACCTGTAATAAGAAGGTCTCTGCCAGGTACAGTGAGCATGTCTGCAACTCCAGCGACTTGGGAGGCTGAGGCAGGAGGATCACAAGTTTGAAGCCAGCCTCAATAACTTAGGCACTGTCTCAAAATTTTAAAAAATAATAATAAATAAATAAAAGGGGTTAGGAGTGTAGGTCAGTGGCAATGTACTCCTGGGTTCAATACTAGTACTGTAAGAAAAAAAAAAGATCACATTTGTGTTTTTCACTAAACATTTCACCGAGGACCAGGGACATAAATGTCTGTGGAATAAATGGAAGGAATCCTCAGGAAAGTAACATTTAACTGGAGGTTCTAGAAAAGCCCATAAATAATTGTACTACATAGCAGAATGTGGAAAGCATTCTAAGGTAAGAACAAGTCAAGGTTCAGGATGAAGTGTCAGGGGGCAGGTGACATTCAGACAGCAGGAAGAGAGTGACATTGTTCACCAGACAGCAGGTGTTACCTGGGCTTCAAGGGCTGTAGGACATCAGTGGGAAGGAGAGATGGCAAATGCCTCTTAGAGACAAGTCAAAGCACCAGCTGAGAGTGCAGAAGGGAGGCTAGGGGACATTGGGCATAACAGGTGTGCCCAGATGAGGTGCTCAGGAAAGCAGGGGAGTAGGCTGGGCACCTCTTCCCTCCCTGGAGCACCTGCTGGCCCTGTCCCTTTTCAGCCCCCACTCTTGTTCCTCCAGCTGGAGAGTGCTGCTATTTTACATCTGATTATTGAATCATGGCCAAAAAATTAGTATCAGGGAGTAGCTCCAGGATCTAACCCTATGTTTCTGCCACCAAAGCTCTTCTCCCCCTCCATCTAGCAAGAAACTGTATTACTGTAACTGGAGATAGCCTTGACCTTGAGGAAAGTGGAGACCCATTGGGAAATCACTGCAGGGGTTGCTAAGAGGTTCTTACCCAAGGTTTGGCAGAGAATGGAAGAGACTAGCATAGAAGGTATCCTCCCAAGAGTTTGTAATAATTAAGTGTGGGAGGGGGCAAAGAAGCAGGAGGCGGTTTCAGAAATGGGGGAGATAAGAAGGTGGCTCTAGGGAAAGAGGATGAGTTGATTTGGGACATAAACCCCCAAAGCCAACCCTTAAATATTGCCAGGCATCGAAATCATTCCCGTCTTCCTCCCTTCTTCACCTGTGTCATTACTATTTCTCAAGGATAAGCTATGGACCAGGCAAAGGGTTAGGCCAAGGAATTCACAGTGTAGTGGAGATTTTCAAGGTGCTCTGACAGCCTTGCAGAATAGTGGGGGCAATGGGTGTTTCCCTGGGACAGTGAATGAAGTGACATTGTCTTTCTGCATATGCTCACAAGGCTAGACCACTCACAGTCAAGACTTCCAAGACTTTCAGATTTGACCCACAGAGATGAAGAACCAGGCCCCAAAGGTCCCTCAGTTCTGCCCTGTTTTGATCATCTCAGTGTGAAGCCAAAGGTGGCTGAGAGGGCCCCAAGCCCTTTTACCTCACAGACCTACAGAGGCCACTTTGGACATTCATCTTGACTCATTTCCCCTGATCACCAGTCATAGGGGCCCACGGAGAGAACTGAGCAGAAAGGGTCTTGGAAACTCTAACTTGAGTCAGAATGTCAGCCTGTTTGTTGAAGGAAAGCCGTTTTCTGGTGCTTCCTCCCCAGGCCACACAGAGGGCTTTCGCATAGATGGGCAGTGCTGGCTTCCTGTGCCCCGCTGCTCCTGGCAGAGCAGCTACTCGAGACTGGAGGGCACTGAGGACCCCCTCCCAGGCCAGGTGGGGTCAGGCAGCCCCAGGTAGGGGCTGAATCCTCAGTCCTACTGGCTCACGGTCTCCCCGTCTCTGCTCATCCCACTCAGCCTCGAGCCCTTCTCCTGATGCCCAGGATGCCAGACGGCCAAGGAGCAGAAACCCCTCCACCTGGACCGTGGAGGATGTGGTCTGGTTTGTGAGAGACGCCGACCCGCAGGCTCTAGGGCCTCACGTGGAGCTCTTCCGAAAGCACGTACGCAAGGGGTGGCCTGGCCAGGACCGGTGGGGTGTTGGGGACATAGAAAGAGGATGCTGGAGAGTCTGGACTAAGCTGGAGGGGTACCCTCGAGGGAGCCGGAGATGAGAGAGACAGCTGCAAACACAGGCTTCTCAGAGCAGAACAACCACTTGGTTTTGTTTTAAGGGATATTTGTCCCATCTGTTCTCTCATTTGGGGCTTCATCGGGAGTGCCTATTTTCCTGCCTCTCCATCCATCTGTCTGTGCATTCAACAGTCATTTATAGCACACCTACAATACGCCAGGCGAACTGTAATAGTGCCTGTTCCTAAACTGCTTTGAGGATTAAATGAGAAAATGCATATAAAGTGTTTAGCATGATGTACGGCTCATGGGTAGACCGCAGTTAACAAGTATTGTGACAATTATTTCAGCAATTCTGAATTATGTCAAGATGGTAAATGAATAAAAGGTAAGAATTAAAATATTTTATCTGCCACACTTACCATGTTAATTCTGTATTGTTACCATAACTAATTACCACAAATAGAGTGGCTGAAACAATCCAAGTTTCTTATCTCACAGTTCCGTAGGTCAGGAGCCTGGCCTGGGTCTCCCTGGGCTAAGCTGTAGGGTTGGCAGGGCAATGTTCCTTTCTGGATGTTCTAGGGAACATCTATTTACTTGCCTTTTCTGGCATCAAGATCCACTCTCTTTCCTTTGTATCCCCCTAACATTGTCTTTCAAGCCAGTGACATCAAGCTGAATCCTTCTCAGCCTCGAGCAGTCCTTCTGATTTCTTTTTTTTCTTTTTTTTGATCCCAGGGATTGAACCCAGGGGTGCTTAACCACTGAGCCACATCCCCAGCTCTTTTTTATATTTTATTTTGAGACAGAGTCTTGCTGCATTGCTAAGTGTCTTACTAAGTTGCTGAAGCTGGCTCTGAACTTGCGATCCTCCTGCCTCAGCCTCCAAAGCCACTGGGATCACAGGCATGTGATCCACTGCGCCCCACTCTTCCACTTCTAAGGATCCTTGCAATTACATTGCTCCCATCCCAGAATCCAGGCTGAACTCCCTACTTCAAAGTCAGCTGATTGGCAACTTCATCCCACCCGTAACCTTAGTTCCCTTCACCATGTCACCTAACATGTTCACAGATTGAATAAATTAGGATATAGACATCTTAGAGGGAGAGGAGGGCATTATTCTGTTTGTTACAGTAATAATTTTTCCCCTCCTGACCCTTATTTTTACTTAATGATTCTGCCATAAAATCACACTCTCAGATCTGAGAATGGTCCTTAACTTGGTACCCACATTTTATCTGGCATATATTTGACTTACCTGACAACAGTGACCAAAGATCAGAGAGCACAGGGGAGGCTGCACTTAAACGGACTTGGCAGGGGGCATCTGGCTGTCTTCCCAGGGTGATAGAAGAGGGGAGGAGTCTCAGAGTGGGATAAAGAGGGAACATTAGGAAATGGGGCTCCTGGGAGGGGCCCACAGATGAGTTTTGCCCCCCCCCCCCGTCATTGTGTCAGGAACATGGAGAGTGAATGACCAAAAGATGGTGATCCATCAATACTGGCTGCTGGACAGACATATGAGAGGGGCTGGTGACCCTTGTACCTCTGTGTCTCTTCTCCCCACAAGACCACCCAATAGGAGAGCACTACCTTTTGTCTCTAGTGACCTAGTAAACAGCACTCTAGTGAGCAAGGAATCCCAGCCTGGCTAGGTACATAAATGCCATGTGCATTCTGGAGGGTTACCATTTCCAGAGACAAATCGGAGCTACACCAGGACTTTAAAGAATTGGCTCACTCCCATTGTAGTTTTGGGGTGAATCAGGCATATTATTTACTGTATACCATCTTGTATAATTCACAAGGCCAAAAAACACCTGAAATTCCTCATAGAATTGGCAGTTAATCTGTAAATTGGCTAAAAGTATCTGGGCCTCCAAGAAAAAAAGTCAGTGATAAAGTGATGGATGGAAGTCAGGGTCTCATGCCAGCATCTGGAATGGAATGGAGAGGCAACCTCTGGTTTACGGTATAATGGATTTCACTTTTTGCTCTGTTATCCCTTGATTGGATGACAAACACCATCCATGGGATATTGGGAACATAGGTGGGGTTATGTTTGATACCTTCAATCAGGAATATTCAGTTTAGCAGATGATTCCAGGAGGGTAATGGGAAGAGAAGCACAGAGTATTTGTTTGCTTTAATTTTTCTAAGGATCTTGCTCTGTAAATAAACCCATTTGCTCTTGCTACCCTTGAGCATACCTTAACTTAAGCAACCACTTGATTACTCTATCTCCTGGGTTTTCTTTTCTTTTTCTTCTTTATTTTCTGATTCTTTCCACCAGGAGATTGATGGCAATGCCCTATTGTTGCTGAAGAGTGACATGATCATGAAGTACCTAGGCCTGAAGCTGGGACCTGCGCTGAAACTCTGCTACCACATTGACAAGCTGAAACAAGCCAAGTTCTGAAGATCTTTAAAAGATAGAAGCTGAACCCAAGACAAAGAACTCAAGACTATCTTCTGCCTTACCAACATCCAGCCAACATCATGAAATAGGTTCTCTTCTTAAAATTAACAGCCACAATGACTTGGTCTTTTTTTATAGAAAGAGTGTATCTTCGCCTTTTAAAAAAAATTCTACCTGGCTCTTTTTAAAAGGCTCATCTATGTTAATGATTTGCCAAAAAATTACCAAAAGCCTATTATTTTTAACATTCCTTGATTTGTTGGTCACTCTTAGAGTGGGTGCTATCTGTATAATGAGAGAGAGTGGGGAACTGAATGCTGTCACCTAAGGAGAGCCCCGGAGGGTTCCAAGATATGAGAAGGACTTGTCCCTGCAAGGACATCCACCTCAGCACCACCTGCCTCTGTTCTCACCCAGGGACCCATCAGTGTGAGCCTTGCTGGATTCAGCTCTGAGGGTGACTGCCTCGCCTTGCACTATCTGGAAAACTTGAATTCTTTTGCTTTCTGAAAAAGAGGAAGAAAGATCTTTTCTATTCGCACTTATCTGAAGTACTGTGTTGTCCCACTAGAGGGCAGACTGCTAATGAAATTTCAGGACCCTTGACTGCAGCCGGATGCTTATTCAGAACTCAGTGACTGGCCTGGGGTTTCTTTGAATAAAATCTAGCCTATACAGGGAATTTATCCCACACATTGCAACTTGGGAAGAAATTGTCATCTAGAGGGTTCTAATTCACATCCAAGCATTATTGACTGACTGATACACAACAGCAAAGGAAAGAATTGGAAGCGTGCTCTACCCAGATGGGGCTTTAGAGTTCCTTCCTTTCCAGAGTCCTTACTGAGGTGTTGATGTGTTGTCATGTCGAAGAATCTTAGTGACATTTAGCCATGGGTGTTTCTTGAAAAAAGGAAAAGAAAAATGTCTTAACTAAATTTTGAAAATGGAGAGTGTTGATTTCTAGTTGCATTGCTAGATTCTGTAGTCGTATCTGTGGCTAATTTTTCTAATCCTCAACAAATACACAGACACGCTATTATTGGGTTTAATTCAATTTACAAATAGGTTTTCCTTCCTCACCGTGAAGTAATAGAAAAAGAATTGATTTTCTACCCCTATGCAGCTGTGTCCAGAGAAGGACGATGAATTCACAATTTACTAGGCAGAAGGATATCCTCTTCTCTGCTATTTATTTATTTTTTTTTGTATTATTCTCTTTTCTCTCTCTTTTTTCTTCCGTTTCCTCACTGAATAGGAAACATATCCTCAAAATAAATTCACCTTTTTGATGGGCATGTCCTCTTCCTTAAAAGAACATCTACAGTGTTAGAGATGAAGAGGTGAATATTAGACCTTGCAATCCTTGGGAGGATGCAGGTCAAGAAGAACTCAGGGCCTCTCTGGGCCCAAATTTGAATTAGAAAAGGCACAGCTTCCTCCAGGATGCAGCCTAAGAGGGGTCTCAGCTGGCAAGTGCAGCCAGGTAGGATCTCAGCTCCCTTACCCCTCCACCAGCTGCCCTTGTACAGAACATGACCTGTATGGCCTTGAGGGCGACCTTGATTGGATTTGCATATGGAATGTCTATGAATCAGAATTTAGATGAGGACCATAAGAAATATTGCATGCCACCTTATTGGGGCCCACTTTGCTGAGAAACATTTGAGAAAGCACATCATAGAAAAATCTCTTTTAGACACACAAGCAGTGGCTAGATATAGAGTTTGACAGCGGGGAGGGAAAAAAATGTTCCAACCCTACCCATGAAATTGAGCAGACAGTGGAAGAGCTTCATGTATGTTGGTTTCAGCACAAAACAAAACTGCCCCACATGAGGCCTTGGGTTAGATGTTGAAGTGAGTAACAGATTCTGTCCCTTAAAAGTTTGTTAATGCAAAGTGCTCACTCTGAAGTTAGATAACTTCCTTCAAGAAGCTGGACAGTTGATGTATTCAGAACTGCCGGTGTGAAAACTAGGAGATCCAGAAAAATCCCATGACAACCCAGGTTCTTCACTTTTGTGGGTTTTGTCCAGCCCATGGATATTTATGGTGCCTCTTCTATCAACATATGCTTCCTTTAGACTTTCACATTAAGATCTCAAAATATCCTAACCACCCTCACCAGTGCCTCTCTGGCTACAGACACACAAACAATGGTGCCCTCAAGTTCAAATCAGTTCCAAACAATGTCACAGAGATACCTTGGGTAGTTTTCAAGGGGGAGAGATGTTCCTATTTCAAGCCTAGGGGAAAACTGGAACTGGGTTCCCACCCAATTGCTCTCACCCAGGTGCTGTCTCATTTCACATGAAACTTTCAACAGGCCAGATTGCTGAAGCCATGATATTTAAGGTTTGACTTAAAAAAAAAAAAATCTCACTACTCTTAAAATGAATGCTGCCACATCAGAAAAGAACCTGGGGAAGAAATTCTTCTTGCCTGTTTTTGTACCGACATGCAATTAGCTGACCAAATTATTGTGGCAATACTGTAATTATAATTAATTTTCATCCCTCTCAAAAATCTTGTCAAACCAGGCAGCTAAATAGCTTCTCAAATGTAAAACACACCAGGCTATTTTTCTCTAAACAGACTTTAAACGGTCAGGCCATTGGGGTCACACTGGCCCAAATGAAAGCTACTTGGGGGCCTCAACTTGACAGATGCAGTATTTGTTATTCCATGGCGGTAGCTTGCCTTCAGGTTGTAGTGAATAATGATATAGTTTTGCATAATTCCAAATTAAAGTGTGTGTGTGTGTGTTCGTGTTCCAAACATTTCCAATTATACTTGTCTGTTAAACACTTGAAAAAAAGTTGAGACAATTCTGTTGCCTAAGGCATTTTAAATATTTTATGAAGCACATAATTCCCTTTGTGAAGAATTTTAAGTAAAAGATGTGTGTGTATGTGTGTGTGTGTGTGTGTGTGTGTATATATCTCCTGCCATTGTAGTCAGAGAGCCTTAGGAAGTGGGAATGTATCAGTGATTTGCATATGCTTGGGTTAAAATGTCTCCCCAGCCTTTCAACAGAGGCAGAGCCCTTGAAGTCTTCCTATGGTTGTTATTTCTAAGTGTTGTGCCCTCTTATGCCAGCAGGGTGCGCCCTAGAGGCACCTGGGTGACAGGGTTGGTTCTGGGGTTCTGGGCCTATCGTCCTCAGGCAGCTGACTGGACATGCCATGCCTGGGCTTCAGGGTGACCAAGGAGAGGCCTCATGGGGGACCCTCAGGCAAGGGATACTTGTCTGCCTCATTTAGGGTCTACCAGAGAGGACACTGGGTTTCCATGATTTCCCTTGAACAGGCTGCCAGGGATTTTTCCGTTCAACAGAAAAAGAAAAAAAAAAAAAGGGATTGAAGAACCCCTCAGGAGAAGCACATATGATATTAAATACGTCGGAAGGAATACTGTGCTGAGGTTGGTTTGCTTAAGAAGGAAACCAGCAAGAAAGGAAATAAAACCATAAATTCCTTAGGCAAACAATAAAAGAGTAGTTATTCTAATCTATCCCGATCCATGATTTGGCAATAATCTGTTTTCATATTTATGTGATGTATGGGATATTTCTTATTTTTCTAATTAAAATTGTTTTTTAAAGTATTTTCTGAGATTGCTTTAGGAGAATTTTGTCAAATCTCTGAATAAAACTGGAAATGCCCAAAGGTAACCAGGGACTAAAAATTAGTCATTGTCAAATGTCTTGAAAGATGGAAATATCTGCTCTCTTTCTAAAGAAATGGCTAAGGATTTGTATACGTAAAGCAGGAGGTGAGAACCATCTGATGAGTGCTCAAAAGGACACCTTCCCAACTCTTCTCCAGAGTGGGTGGAGGAGGGCCTTTGACTCACATTTGTTACATGAGGCTTATTAGGGCTGGGTGTAGCTCAGTGGTAGAATGCTTGCTGCCTAGCGTGTGTGAGACTCTCCGGGTTCAACCTCCAGCACTGGAGGGGGGAAAAGCAAAGACACAGGACTGTGTAGGAGTAGATAATTTTAAAATGCGACATTTTGTTAAGGAGAAGGATGCAAACTGTCCCCCACTTTTTTTTGTCATAACACTAAGAACTGAGCACTTGCCCAGCTCTCCTGTTGTCTTGCCATGTGGTTACATCCCTGTGGCATGAGAGGACCACACTGAGAACCCCCGAGGGGAATCCAGCAGATGGTCAGACATCCAGAGACCTAGACATTCCTGTTTCCATTTTGAGATGTTAAACTCAGCAGCAGCATCTGCCCACCCCATCCCCCATGGGCCCTGCAGGGGCTCCCAGAGTGTCACTCCCTCAGAGGGCTATCCAAGAGGATCCCTTCACGGACAATTGGAAGCTGGATTTTTGGAAATCTAGCATTTACTTGAAAGAGAATCGCTCTTATTTATTGCCACTAGTTAAAGATTATGGAAACATGTCTGCTAACAATTTGCTTTGTGTAATTTGTTCTAATGCTAATAAGCAACAGCTGGGACACTTCCTGTGGTAAATTCCTTTGTGGTTACAGTGGTATCATCACACACGGACTTCACCAAAATGCTAGACTTGGGAAGAACACTCACTCCTGATCTCCCAGGCTTTAGGAAATTCCCCTCACTCAGAAGCAGCACTGGGCCACAGCGTATTTTTAGAGGATCATTTGCTTTTCTTCACTCTCTGCTTTCCCAAGATGGGCCCCAGACCTGTGCTCTTAAAATCCTACATCACTCCTGGGGGTTCTTGGCACACTTAGCTTGGAGTTTGATTTCCTACAGAGGAAAAGATGGCAGGTACAGTTTAAGAAGGACACCTTCCTCCATTTCATGGTTGGACAAGGGCGCTGGACCATGAATTGATATCTGCAGGAGACACGCCCCAGAGCCCAGAGCTGAGTGCTGATTCAGTAATCAATTGAATAATGATGCCTGATGTATAGGGACAGCAACATCTTTCTGTCCAGAGTCAACATGTACAACTCAGACTTGCTCTCAGCTGTCATCCCACCATGCTCTGATCTTGAGTGCAGCCACATGGCCTGAGCCTCAGAGTCAGTTCCATGTACTCCATGCCTGTCGAAAAGGCCAGCATACACATCTTCCACTGGATCCAACTTTGGAACAAACCTCTGACTTGTTTTCTAAACAACTCACTATGAAATACAATACCCTCAATGAGTGTCATTTTCCAATAATCATGTGCAGCCAAAGGCTACCTTCCTCAAAAGGAAAAGGAGCTTCCTCAAACCTCATCTGCACCCCCAAGCCCTCAGAGCTGGACCACCTCTCCCACAATACTGAGAAATGGCTATGCCTGATCACTTCCCATTTCAAGATGTCTCCTCCCTTAGGAAGTGGCTTATTTCTCTGTTGGACAGCTCTGATTGTGAAAAAGTTACTTCTCGGGGAGACAGATGTCTGAGAATCTAACACAGACGTTTGAGATGATGCCAATTCTGAAATTTTTCTCTTTTTAACAGAACTTGTCCATGCAGTAACCAAGTCTATGAAACAAACTGGCATTAGGAGTGGATCCCAGCAATAGGTTGCACTACATTAGGATCGAGGAATGGACCATTTATATAAATTTTTTAGAACTTAGACAGTTCATGACATCATCTTCATTAGGTTGTCAGGGGGGAAAAATGGTGAAATTTTTGTGACCTTATAAAAAGGGTGGGGGGATACCTGGGAGGATTTTCAGTGTCGTTATAAATCTGTCTATAGTCACATAAGCATATATGGTACATAATGCATAAATCAAGAAGGCCACGTGCCTCATAAACAACTATGAAAAAGGCACTCTGAGATTTGAGGCCCCGTATCTTAATTGTACTCATCAGTGATATAAAGAACTAAGGAAGCTTTAGACAAAAACATGTTATGACTGATGAGAGAAAAGTAAACACAGCCTGTCGTGAATTTATGGAAGAGTGATGTAGTTTATGAACCCCCGTCCAAGTTAGATTTCGGGCTTGCATGCATGAACAAACATGTATATGTGAGTTAAAACAACAACACTAGGAACTGGGGAAGGTTACAGCAGGGATTGTAAAAGATCTTGCTTTCTGGAACATTCTCTTTCATTCAGAACTATACAGCAATGATTTAAAATCAGATCTGAAGTGCACATAACACTAGTGGATGTGGCTTGCTTAGATAAGATTCTAGATGATGGAGTAGATTCTCTATGAAAATTTGAGATCTTGGTATTTGGGGAAAGCAGACAATACCCAGCGCCTGGAGTAATACCTGTCTTAGAGGAAGTCTGTATTAATACTCTGGTTGACTGGTGAATAGAATGCTTGGCCAGTTTTCATATTGCCTCCTAAGCACCATTAGATTTTTTTTTTTTTTTTAAGCCTCAGGTTTTATCCCTACTGAAGAATTGCTAAAGGGACAGGCTAAAAAAATGGGCAGCAGGCCTTCGGCTTCCCCTGGCTCTCCGAACACGCCAGCCAACAGGCCACTTGCATTTCATTCCCATGGCTTTGTGTAAAGGTCTCACATTCTGCTTGGCCAGGTGCTACTGCAAGCATAGAGCATAACAACTGATAATTTATAGTTTTACTTTTAAAACACACCTGTTCCTTTTCTTTCTCAGTATGTGATGCAGCCCAGAAATAAGAGCTGTGTTTCCATTGGCTGGGTAAGGGCTCCGGGGACCGGCTTCTCCTGCGCTCTGCCCAGGGACTTCGCCCAGGGACTCGTCCTGGGGCACCTTCCTCTGCTCCCAGAAGGCTAGCCTCTGGGGTGCTCTTCCCCACAACCCCTCGTAGCTCACACCTGCTGATGGAGAAGGCTCAGCCCTCTGGAGGTGTATTGAAGAGACCTTCCTCCTGCCCTTTTCTGATCTTGCTCCTCTCCTCCTTTGAGAGCAGATTTGGAAATAACGGGGTCTTTTCTTATCTCCCCCACCAATGATTACATAGAAGGCTTGAGAAATTATCACAGGACTGATTTTCCCCCTCATAACCATACCAAAATCTAGTGTTTCATCTTAAAAAAAAAAATCACTTTAAAAGCCTGGACACGTGTTCCAATTATGTTGTCGTTGCTCAGAATATTTTTAATATATCTCTTTAGGGATTGTCTTTAAAAGCTAGGATATATTCTTTTCAAAGTATAGTTGGAAGACAGTCATTGTCCCTTGAGGGTGGGATTTGTTTTATTTTTCTTCTTGGAGCAAGCCATAGACTCTGGATCATGTCTGGTGAATAACAGAGGGAACCGAATTGAGGTTAAAACGATGTGTCTTGATACACGTTTGTTTGTCCATTTCTTGTGTATTTCTTCATTTGATAAAAATGGTTTGAACAATATCAGTCATAATTCATTTGTCAAATATATTAGATATCAGTATAAGGAGCTGCAGTGCATAAACTATTTTGAAGGACAACATTATTTGGGTGTAGAACATTCAAAGTAATTTTGTTGCTGTATTTTTGGGCATGGTAAGCTGAGCAGACATACAGAGATCAGCTTCACACCTACAACCTAGAATCCCAGAGTTGGGATTCCACTTACTTCCACACCTTCCTCCAGGAGTCCCACATCACTCTTTGGGGGGCAGAACATGATGCAGCACAAATAAATAAAAGAGAAAATAAAACCTTTCCAGGTTATCTCCTTCCATACCTTTACCTCTTCTGGAAAAGAAGATCATCCAGATGACCTTTAAAAGCATTTATAGCTCAGTTCCTTTCATCAAAAGCTGATGGAGTTAGACCACCATGGTATTTAGAGGGTATTGGTTCCTTCCTCTTCTCCTTTATTATTCCAAGCTTCTCTCCCTCCTTCTGTCCAAAATTGTCATTGAGGTGTTTCCTGATCCTCCTCTCTCAGGGACCCATAATTCCTCCTCAAAGCCACATCAGCATCACTTTCCCAGCACTTTTTACTTTCCAGTTCACTCTTTCCCTCTTTCCTCCTATCTCCATGTTTCTCCCCGCCCCCATCATTTTTTTTCTATTCCATCAGCTCAAATGTTTTTTTTTTTAAAGAGAGAGAGAGAGAGAGAGAGAGAGAGAGAGAGAGAGAGAGAGAGAGTTTTTAATATTTAACTTTTAGTTTTCAGCGGACACAAAATATTTTATGTGGTGCTGAAGATTGAACCTGAGCCGCATGCATGCCAGGCGAGAGCGCTACCGCTTGAGCCACATCCCCAGCCCTCAAATGTCTTTGGAGAGAAAGAGGAGGGGGAAAAAGAAAGAAAGCATAAGCAGTAACCTGCTTCGTCCCTGGTCCAGCAGGGCTGACCTCTGCGTGGCTCTCACTGTCCAGTTGTCACCTGCCCCCAGCATTCCTTGGTTCTCTCATGCTTCCTGCACTAGCTCCTTTTATTCTTTCCATTTTGCAAGGTCTAGTCCCCTCAGCTCTGTGCTTGAGTTTGGGAACAAGAGCCTCACCCCTTCTGGGAGTTTCATTCTGTGACTCACCCTGATGTCCCACTGGTAGACCTCTTGAAGCTTCATCAAGTGTAATTCCCATCCCTCTAGGTGTCTCTCCTTATTCAGCCTCGAAGGTCAAACACCAGGTGACCTGGATGAGCTATTTCTCTCAGACATGCTGTCCCCTGCAATCTGTAATCCTAGAGGACTGTGACATCTAGGAGCATTCCCTATGCAGCGTTGCCCTGCCCCACTTAGCCCTAACTGTGTCCTCTGGAACCAAAGCCAGTTCAGAGCCTCATGTTTAAGTA